TCTCATCGTTTCATCGAATAAGTAAGTTAAAGTAAATCTTTCCTGGCGCAGTTTGACTGCCCTATTGTGAGGAAAAAAGAGGAAAAAAGTGCCTCGCTCCCATGTAAGATTCCGAAATGATTGACCGAAAAAGAGGCGTGTGATTAGGTTCGTGTAATTGAAAGGCTGCAGACACTTCGGTTACTATACAGCCATTCAAGACCCAACTGTTGATGTCACAATAGCGAGACAAAGTTGAAGTATCTTTTGAAAAGATTAAAATCTCTCGAAGTCGTTTTCCGTAACGACTACTTCTTGTCCATCCTCTTCTAAGAGTAATTCCATCATTTCTACTGTTCCAGATCGATCTGCAAATGTGTTCCTATAGATTAACTTTTTTATTTCTCTTTTTTCTTTCTTCATCGTACGTGAAAGGTTCTTTCACTTTTCTTTTGCTCGATTTTTTTCATCCGTATTATGCAGTTGTGGAAAATTTTGCGCGAGGAGAGATTGACCTATGTTTCATTTAGGTAATGTCCGTATGACATAGATATAAGTACAAGTATAGATATCTCTCTCAACCTGGAAAATAACTGGAAAGCACTCATTCAAAGATATTCTAAAACTTTTCTGCACCATGGACGTATATATTTTAACTACATATTAATTCAAGAAATTAATATATTGCTTTTATATGTTAGTTCAAAACATTATTTATCAATTTCTTTTTTCTTTTATGTTTACAAAATACTAAATATTTAATTATAGAGTAATTCTAGATAAGATGACCATGATGGTGAGGCGACTATCTTATATTTTATATAACATAATCCTGATATCTTTAGCTGTAGGGATGATAATTTTTAACAAGACTCATGAACAATTTTTAACACATTTTTTAACAAAGAATATTTAACGCATTACTAGTACATATAATAACAATCACAGCAATAGAAATAATAAATCGGTCCTTGCCGCCATATGTGCGGCATTGGATCCAGTAAGTAAAGTACAATGCCTTTATTGTACTTTATTGTACATTTTTGATTCATTATACATTTTTGAATAATGAATAGTATCGTAAAAGAACTTGTTAATTTGGATAAATTCTCATCTGTGATAGAATATCGAATATTGCTTTTGAGTTATACAATATTCGCTATTCCGGATAATTTTGCTTTTTTTGCCTCCTTTGACATTGATTACGAAAAACATAAATATTCATTAGCAACTTTTACATGTGTAGATCAATTATATTCCAAGCTGTAGTTGTTATTGAACTTAGTGCAAGTAAATAAACAAGCTAATTTATTGTCTGTGCGAGATAAATATAGATATATGTTCAGTTCTAGGAATAGGTATAAGTATACGAATGTAAATGTTTCCATCGAAATGATTATTTTTCATTGCCGACGGACTCTAAAATGGATTTATGGGAATATTATTCAAATAAGAGATCACTCAGCTTTCAACGCCGAGATTTTTGCGAGCAAAAACATGAATTATAATTCACACGTAAAGCATATGACTCGGTCGTGATGTATTAATTATTTTTTTTTTAGAATTTATAATTCTTCCTGCTCTTCTTGATTTATTTTTGTTCAATATGATCAAGCGGCACGAGATTATGCAAATAATAATTTGCTTCAGTAAATTTCAAATCGACTTAAGTAAACATTCAGACATTTCGATAAATAATTTACAGAAGAACAATAGTGAAATGGATTATGAGAGGTAAATAAAACTTAGGTGATAAATTTAATTGAAAATGAGTGGGCGAATTTTGTCGAGTTATTTGATTTAGGTACAGACCAATTTCATTCGCTAGATTGATTAACTTCATGAAACAAAATATAAAAAAAATTGGTATAGTAACATTATTTATTATTCAGAGGCAATAGAAATGTTGATCATTTAGTGGTGTTAAGCTTAATTATTTATTTTTAATGAAATAGTTTACAACGATCACACCAGAATGTGCTAATTATATAAGAACGATGTTAGTAAATTATTTTTATTTTACGATAATTTATTTTTTAAGTTAATAGATTCTTACGGTTTTTGATTTATTATTTTATAAGATTAGTTAATTTCTATAATCGTTATTGTATATAAAATAAAATATTCATATTTATTGATATTCGTTAAGAATTATAATATTTACATAATTAGTTTGAAAAAGTAATAACAAATCTTAATTATTTAATTTTTTTTTTAATTTTCAATTACTTAATATTCTTAATAAGGAAACTATATATTATGTTTTTTATATTAAATTAAAGCAAATAATGCATTTTACATAGCAAGTGTACTTCGTACATTATTACACGTAATTATATATCATTATAGATTAATAATATTTTTTTTAGGTTTACTATTATAGGATAAAAGTTTTTCTGAATATTTTTAAGTAATTTTAAATCAAATCTGATCTCAGGAAAAGACTGTGTCAAGTTTGCATCAGCATTGTATAATATGAAAGTTGATTAATCCTTGATATACTTATATATGAGACATGACACGACACTAACGCGTGTTTACGCAACATCATAGTGTTTTATGGCAAACTATTATAAAAGTTCGATGTTAAACTCAGAATTTTAATTTAAAAGTAAATAAAAATAAACTTTTTAATTCCTTTTAATAATATTTCGACACTTTTACCTATTAATATTAAATGTTAGAACATTTAATCCTTGAAATAGCAATTATGGCTTATCTATTTTGTAATATTTCTAATATATATATATAATTTTAATACATAAATAATTAATATTGACCGTTTAACATGATTGTGGGTATTTTAAATGTATATATATATATATATATATTATACATATATATTAATAATTATTATTTTATATAATATATAATATTCTGCTTATTCAATATTATTCATTATTATCTGATATCCTTCTTTTGAAAAGTTCTAATACTGCAAAACAATTAGATTGAAAATTATGTAAATTATGATTGAAGACGTAAATAATATATTGTCGTAGAACATAGTCACCCTTTTTTAGTAAGTAAAATTGAAATGTTATACTAACATATGCGATAATTTTGTCAGATTCTTAATATAAATGTTAAATGACTATCTTTAGTTTTTAACGAAGATTCAATTTGTTAAGTTCAACATAATCACATAGGTTTGAAACGAATAAATACAAAGAATTCTGAAAAATTAACTCTTCACAATATCACGTAATTTTTAAATTTCATTTTTATATATCTACTTTTTAATTTGATTTTTTTAATTTGATTTTAGCTTTATATCCAAAATTGTTATTGTGTCTTAAATATACATTATGATTGGTATAGTATGATATGTAATTATATGTAATTATATTAACTAAATTATGATATGTAATTATATTAACATAAATAAGATTAAGATTTTTTTTTATATAATTTTTATATAAATAGTAAATATTGCGCCTGAAAGAAGGCTTCACTTTGTACTTTTGTAAGACCTGTACTTTCAAGAGGAATCGATCAGTAAAAAATGTTAATTGTTTTATAAGCCAGTAAGCATATTATAGCAGCATAAGAATGTTTCTTATTCAACTTCGAGCTAATAATTACATTAATGTAAAAAATTAATTTAAAAATTTTTATGATATTTAATGTAGAATTTATTTATAAAATATAAAAAGGCAAAAAAGAATGCAACAAATAATGTCAAAAGAAAAAAGAAGATGAAACTTTCAATCTTACTGAAAGTTCTATTGAGTTAGATAATATCACTCTAAATAAAATTGATAATTCGTCTCGAACATATTCTCTAGGTTTACTTTGACTAATACACATTCGCTCAATCACAGAAGATCAACTAAAACTTCCCCATCTTAGATTGAGAAAGATGGGGGACAGAAAATGTTATTTTTATGATTAAAGTAACGTCACTCTTTTGACAAAAGTCCAGGTATTTTTATCAGAGCAAGTTCAGGATTACTGAACATTTTATTATATTTTTTATAATTATATACATTTATAAATATAACAAAATATATATATATATATTTTGAATTTATTATTATTATTTATTATTTGTATTTCTTATTTTACGCATAAAAGTTTTGAAAAGTTTTAAAAAAACTTAATTTTATATATCTCTTACTAAATTAACGAGTCTTTTTGCATTTAGTTACAATTCTATTTCATCTTATTAATTACTTTTTATACGTTTAGAGATCCATATGATGGTAGTACCAATAAAAGTCCACGAAGAATTAAGAAATAGCTGCTGCAAAAATCATCTCGAGAATTGGTACATCAATCAAATAAGTGCTAATCGATACGCAATTCCGACTTCTTTCAATTTATTTATATTCATAAATTCTTTTCTTTAATTGACATAAGAACTTTTTATTTTGATCATGTCAGCCCTTTTTTAAACGCCAAATAATTATAAGTATGATATTAGCAATATAATCAATAATTTTTGTTATATTCATGCACCTTAAAATAGTTGAATCTTTCAGTACTTAGTTATAGACTTCGGAAAATTATATGAGGTATACAGTTAAGTATCTCACGGACAAACACCGCTTATAAATGTGTTAATATGTGAGGAGTATGGGATGCTAATTTGAAAGAATTCTTTTAATTGTTAACAATAAGTTAATTGGCGCACATTCGGTCGAAATGCCAAAGTTCAAATCATTTTTCGCAACAGCCATTTCTTTCAATCGTATTTATTAGAACTCCCATCATTTCTGCTCTTCCAAATCTATCGGCAAACGTATAGATGAACATAAACCTGAAGATATTCATAACTTCTTATTTCATTAATTTGATTGATACATTTTGATTGTTCGTTTTCTATTTATTAGAACGAATTTTTCCATTCACGTCACATTAGTGTGATTGATGATTGATTAATGATTTTATTAGAAAAAACAATTAAAAAAAAAAATTATAATCGAATATTATTTACGCATTTTACAATGTTATGACGTTATTTTTTTTCGTATAATCGAGCGACCACAAGATCGTTATTAACTCCGAATGGATAAAAAGTAAGCATCATTCGAGTAACGTTGATAGATGACTGATATTGATAACTTCGTGAATAATATAATCAATTCTTGTTCTGCGTAATGGAAAATACTTCTGAAAGTAAGTAAAATTCATATGTTCATTAAAAATATCATAAATTCTATTTTCCATCGATAGAAAATTTAACAATGTAGAAGTCAAAAAATACGATTGTCACATGAAAATCAAATTGTTTCTGATCAAACAATTTTTACTATAATTATAAGCCTTCTTTTTAATAATAAATATAATAAATATGAAATCTTAATATATAATATTAAGGCTTCCAAAAATTATAAATTAAATGGTACTTGTACCATTAGATACAATATAAATCCCAATTATGGAATAGAATTTGAAATAGCATCAATAATAAATAAAATGAAATATAAATGATAAATAAATCACTTTTCCATTATTTCTACATTGCACGAAATTAGTAAGTCTGCACTTGGGACGAATATCCAAGATTGAAAATTATTAAAATATTCGCTAACAAGTATATTGTCAGTGGCTGTGTACATAGATATAATCCCCATTAGTATGTGTAATTAACATAAAATGACTAAGCGATCTTCTTAGACCACATTGAGTGTTAACTGTATTCCTGCTTTAATCTTCTTATGTATAAATGTATTTAAATATATAATTCTTGCATATTCGTTTTGTTGTTATACGTAAATCCAAAATAAAATATGTATTAATTATGAATGAATTTCTAGTAGCGATACAAATCAAATTTCCCATCTATTTTTTGCTTGACCTGGTGAAACCATACGTGTCGATTTATCTATGGAATAAATTCAAGGTGAATTCTGACCACAGAAAATCATATCTTTTATTTATTCATTGTTAGAAAAGAAAACATATTAAGACAAACGATTAAGGTAAACACCTCGAAGATATATTGCGAGATTTTATTTAATACTTTCTAGTTTGCTAATTATTTTACATTCTGGCTCACTTGAATAACGGGACGATCATATAAAAATTTGTATGTATATAAGTAGACACACATATGGAGTCACTGATTATTTTCAACTCATTACAGATCAAACGATTTTCTAATTACACCTTTATCAGTTTAAAATATTATAAATGAATTAGTGGCCTAGAATATTATAGAAGCATACATGTAAGAACAGCCATGATCTCTTTTCATTCAATCGGTATTAATTAAGATAGTGTGATAGCTTGATTATATGAACAAAAATCAGTTAATCATGTGGGACTGGAGAATGCTTGAATATTATTCGAAGGTTCGATTATAATATTTTTTTTTAATAGAATTATCGGCTTACTAATAAGAGAAATGTGGAAGAACTCGTGCTAAAAATTAGAAAAAGAACGATCGAAAAATATATGTTAATATATTTGTTTACAGAGCGATTTGAAGGAACAGAAATGATGGATGTGCAAATGAAAGCGGACGAGCAGGAAACAGCTGTAGCGAAAAAGAATTTGGACCTTGGAAAATCGAACGAATATTCGCCAAATGAAACGCTATCTTCAATTGAAAACATCGACAAATTAACGACGATTCAAACCTTCTACGTAAATCAATGTCTTTTTATAACCGGCGGTACAGGTTTTATGGGAAAAATGTTGATTGAAAAATTATTACGAGGATGCCCTGGCATAAACTGCATTTACGTTTTGATTCGTAGGAAAAAAGATAAAAGTGTTTCTAAACGAATGGAAGACATTGTCGAAAATTCGGTGAGTCCTTCATTTACAATCGATTATTATTTTCATCTTGTGATTAGATTTTCATTCAATTCTATGATTATATGTCGTCACTGAATAGTATTTAATATTTAATACATTTAATAGATACTTATAAGAAGAAGAAAATTGATAAAGTATTATGAAAAGTCTCCTTCTTTCTATTAAACCATATTAGAAAGTGGCAGCAGTAAAGCATAATAGAAAGCAAAATACTCAATTGTTTGTTTTCTGTATCTTTTCTAATATTAACGTTAAAATTAATAGTTAGACGGAAAATATTCTCTACTTAGTTATATAATGACTTTGATGGAAGTCATGTAAAAAATTGCAATGAAATACGTTTCCAAATTTATGAAAAACAATCAAAAAGGTTGGTTTAGAAAAAGGTTTCCAAAGTCGAAAAGACTACTTCTCGTACATTAATACATTCACGATCAAGCGTATAAAACGATATGAACAGCAGGATACCAAGTTTAATTTGCAAATATCTATAGCTGAATACCGCAATGATTTGTTATTTAAATATGTATTCATATAGGAAATGTAGCTTCTTGATATCATACTTTCAATTAATTTTTGCTTAAAATTTAAACGGGAAGTTAAATATTGGATAAAATATTACAGGAAATATTAAACTTAGAAAGAGTTACTTATATTGATGAAATTTATATTTAGCAAACGAATATACTGAATTTTCTAAGGCAAAACTAAATAACATATTTACAGATTTGTTTCAGCTAATAGCTTTACATTGTATAAATAATAACTAGAAATTGTGCACGTTTTATAACGAAATTAAATCAAATTAAACGAAATTGAACAAAAAATTTACCAAGAAAAATTTAATATTTTAATAATAATGTTCTTTCGATATAATGCAATTCGATAAAATATTGAACTTTACATCTATGATTATTTTTTCAAAATCTGAAAATAAATGTTGTAACACTGCGATTTCACTTTTTGCTGATAATCAAGGCATAAGACTACGTTAACGGACTCGAAGCATTAAAACTGTCTAATAAAAATGCATTTAATATTGATAAATAAATTAGACTTCGATTATGTTAAAGAACATAATCACATTTGAAAACATAAGAATATTTAAGCAATTAAGTATGATGAGGCTAAATCTTAAAAGATTGTTAGTTTTCTTTTCACAAGCCTAATAAATATATCTATATTTTTTCTAAACATTTTTCATTGGTTAAACGCATCAGAGTTATTTTAGGTACTTTAGCAGATTTCTTGAATCCAGCTTTCTTTTTTTTCATCGATCGTATCGTCATTGTTCTCTATTCATGTTTCTCACATTATTTATAATCTAAAAATAATAGAAAATAGTTTGACAGCATAAAAAAATTTGGTAAACGATTTTTAATGCATTAAGATACTCATTCTTTGGAGAGAGAATTCTTAACGAAACATGTCGATGTTTTATTTACCTTTAAGACACTGTCGAAATTATATATAAATAGTTATTTGCTGTCTATTTCTATAAATTATAAATGAAAAAAGAATAATTTAGAAATTTAGAAATCAAATACTAGGGAAGAAAATATAAGATGAAACAAATTCATAAATCACAAAAATAGAAATCAACTCGTAACTTATCAATGCTTAATAATAATAAGAATAAATTCGTGATTAGATAGATTCATGGCTTTATTCTGCACTAATATATACACTTTTCAATGCTTCCAACATTTATTTAACAAAGTGTGTCGAAGATACGACATAGGATCCGACTTTTTAGTCATTCCTCTATTAATGATATATAGGTGTATATGTGGGTCAGGAAATATTTATAAACCTAACAATGCACACTTTTCAGTTATTTAACACGCTGAGAAAGCAGCAGCCAGGATTCCAAAATCGAATAGTAGCGATCGAGGGTGACTGTAGTTTGCCGAATCTCGGTATTTCGACAACCGATAGAGCTAAACTCATACGAGAAGTCTCTATTGTTTTTAACGTTGCCGCTACTGTGCGGTTCAACGAGAATATTAAATTGGCGGCAGCTATTAATGTTCAAAGTCTGAAGGATTTGATACACTTATCTAAGGAAATGTCGAAACTAAAGGTAAGCATTCTATTCTTTGTATGAGTGCTAATAACTCTATCATCAATCTCTATTTCGGTTACTTTTTATGATAAGAGGAAGAAATCAATTGTTTGTTTCAAAGAAACGCATTATTGTGTGACTCAGTTCCTTCTCTAAGTCACTGAAATTTTTCCAATCGAGGAAATTGACGTTTCGCGATGAAATTATTCAACTAATCTCTTTTATATTTTATTATTTGTAAAATTCAAATACGGATAATAAAAACGCTTCCTTGACAAAGAATTCACAAGTGTTATTATACTCATATATATCGGCATATAAATAGGCAATGAAAAAAAATGCTTCGTGTAGAGGAGTGTAGCATTGAACGTTTCATACGAAATTAATAAATCGATAAGGATTATTTATAAGTATACGCTAATTCAGGCAAAAGATAATTTTTTCAAAAAAAAAGAAAAAATGTTAAGAAAAATAATTTATTAAAGCTATAAAATTGTGAGCACAAATTCATGTCGAGTGTATATTTTTAAAGAAATTTAGTAGTCGTCGCAGCGTGATAGCTGAGATCGAGGGGTGACCAACAAATTATGATACTGTGACCTTGTCGAGTCGTTGCGCGAAAAAATTATTATAAAATTTGGTCAGTTAGAAGACACTTGCACGCCTCGATAATACCGAATGTAATTTAACATGACGGACATGGTCGGACTCATTATTTCAATCAATAAATGTTAAGAGAAATTTATTTTTGATGGGTATCATTTCGAGTACATCAAGCAAATCTTTCCTAATTAATATTTCCATCATAGTTATTTTATTATTTACATCAATTGATTCACTTTTATTATTTTCTTTTTACTCAAAATTGTGTCAAGGTCACAGTATTATAGGTCGTTGGATTCATCCTGACCTTATCTATCACATTTCGAATACATATGTCAGTATGTATCCCTATTTAACAAATTTTCTGTGACGTCAAAAATTTGAAAAAATGATTCTGAAAAACAATTGATTAAAGTATGTTCCTTTGAAGCAAAGAATTAGGTTCTCCGTTATTTCTTCGCATCATTAAAATTTGCAAGGAATTGTTTCGTTACATGGTTATTGAGACAGCCTGCACATATTATTAATTATGTAGATCTTTAATTGAATGATCTGACTCTAATAAATGTTTGTTATCTTTTATATTATAGAGTTTCGTCCATGTATCAACGGTTTATGCCAATTGTCTTCAAAATCAGATCGAGGAGAAATTTTATGATCCACCTATGAATGCCGACAAATTCATCGCTTTGATGGAATCTATGGATGAAAAATTGCTCGATGATATTACACCGCAGTAAGTCTATCACCGAATCTTGATTTCACGACTGTTTTCTCCCATTATATTTCCATACATATGTCGAGCCAAACGATTAGTTGCATATGTATACAATCTTCGAAAATCTATTCCAGAATATCGCAAGTTTCTACTATCCAAATGTATGAGATTATAAAAAATATTGCTTCTTCTCGTAATGTTTTTATTTTAAGTAAATTTTTGTGAAAATATTAGGGAACAAATTAAATAATTCATGAAAAGTTACTGAAAATATTAAAATTTAAAATTTTATTTAAATTCATTGATTATATTTCTGGGAAACGAAAATAATGAATTTACTGTAAAGTAAAATTCGATAACATTTTTTCAAATTCTTTTTGAATATTATCTTTACGTTGTATCTAATCATAACACGAATTACGATTCATTATTGAATTAAAAAATAATATCACCGTTGAACATATTTGACAATAGAATTTAACAAAGTTAAGAAGAAGTTGAAGAAACAAATTAACAATTTAAATTTAATATTTAATAATAATGTTCTTTAGTTATATAACTTCATTTGAAAAATCTACTTGATAGATCAAAGATTTGCAATTTTTTGTGGCTATTCATTATTTTTGTCAATGCCATTATCGCTAGAACTTCGTTACGTTTGTCCATCTATCGATATTATAATGACACTTTGTAATTACATTTCCGGTCGTGAATATATTAAAAATATATTAAGACGACTGGTTACGGAACCGACAATTAAAAATTGAATCTTATTACTGGTATTAGCTTACTTGGAATATGGCCGAATACATATGTTTATACGAAATCAATCGCCGAGAATATCGTAAAAAGACATGCTGGCTTAATGCCGATTGGAATATTTCGTCCAGGAATCGGTTGGTAATAATGTGACTCTGTTAGAACAAAATAATAAATAATACATAATAATTAACTTGATATTCTTAGTGTTACCAACGTACATAGAACCTGCACAAGGATGGATCGATAATATAAACGGGTTAGTGGGAATTACAGCAGGTGTAACAATGGGAATAATACGAACTAATCTTTGCGATGGATCGCTAATTGTAAACATTATTCCCGGAGATCTGACGACTAATGCACTAATCATTAGTGCATGGGATATAGCGAATAATCGAAGGTAGCGTCAATTAATCACGTTTATTCGAAATATTTTCGATCGAACCAAATGACGATTAGAAAAAATTAAATTACCGCTTACTGTAATCTTTCAGATCCATCGAAGAAATTCCTATTTATAATTACACATCTATGGATAATCCAATCACTTATGAGGAATTCATAAAAATGTCGAGGAAGAATATTGAATTATTACCGACTAACGAAGCAATTTGGTACATAAGCTTTTGGAATATAAAATATCGACCAATTTATCTTACCTTCATGTATTTTCTACATATACTACCGGCTATTATAATCGATACGATTTCGTTATGTATAGGTAAAAAGCCAAGGTAATTTTTTCTTATCTTTTTTTCGAGTTCGATGCATCCTGTGGTTGATGTCATTCTCAGATTCTCAAAAAATTCGATTTAATCAGCTTATTTCAAATTTAAAAATTCCTTAAAACGTTTGTTTGGCCTTGTTGAGCTTTCTAAGTTCTCGTCTAGGGTTAGCAATGGTTCGCATGTTTCGACAATTTTTCGAAGAAAAAACTGATCATCAAACAATTTAGTTTAAACTTGTCTTCCCATTAATCTATAATTAATTCGTATCAAAATGGTACATGATTGAATATCTAGGCTAACAATGCGGTTATTTATACCCTTGTCAGCACCTTCTTTTCTTAAGTACATAATGATAATCACATTATTCATATAATACTTCGCCAGTATCATGCATCTTACGAACTGAATGAAAGACCATTTGTCATAATTGTATCTCCCCTTTTCCAAAAAGCCTTTAGAAATTCGAGGTGTCTTGTTCTTAGTTACTGTCATGTTCCGTAATAGTCCGTAAAATTCTGATAACAAAATTGAATCTCCCATCTCCTTTCTTTTAGTAGCCGATCTTTGAGTTCCTTTTCTTGGCACAATTGCTGTATTTATTTCCTTATCATCTATCAGACTTATATTTTTTCTATAACACTTATTAACTCTTTTAGTTTCCAATATTCATATATTTTTCTTTTCTTTAATTATAACTTTAATTATTTTTATATGCGGCACCTATCTTTTCAACGATCATACAATTTTTAACAAATGTACAACTATGTTTAAGGTTACTCAAAATGTATAAAAAAATTTATACACTGGTGAACATATTCAATTATTTTGCCACTACCAAATTTAACTTTAATAATAAAAGATGGAACGAACTGTTAAGTAAGTTAACGGCGGAAGATCGCGAATTTTTCTTCTGTGATATAAGGGATCTCATTTGGGATACATACTTTAAAAATTACATTCTAGGCATAAGAATGTACATCTTAAAGGATCCCATTGAAACTCTTCCACAAGCTCGTATGAAATGGCAAAGGTATCTTCTTTCTCATTGATCGTCTATTATTCACAATGACCTTCAAATAATACTTGTCTTTTTAATTTTTAAGACTTTACTGGATACATCAAGCATTAAAACTTTTTATCGTCTGTGTATTCCTTATGATAACTTGGGTCATGATATTCAGACACTTTTAACGTTCGAATATGGGTAAAATAAACAACTGACGTTAAGGAGAGTGACAATACAGCTTTGAGAAGTTTTTTTTTTGTTTGAAATTGATATCAATATAGTCTAATTATTATTGTGTAAATAATATTAAGATCTTCTCTACATAATTCTTTATATGAATGCTAATAATTGCGCCTGAAAATAAACTTGTACTCTGTACTCTGTTGATATTTGTAGATTTAAGCGAATTCTATTTCAAATGAGGGTATAGTACTTAATGCGGATTGGATTTCAAAGTTGTATAAAAAAGTATCTTTCTTAAAAATCGTGATAATAAATATATTTTCATGTTAATTATGATTACAATCATCTTCTTCATTTTCATAATTTTTAGATATTATTACCTTATTTTCATTTACAAATAATTCCTATTATATTTGAATAATTTGTAATTGAAATTGAATATTTCATTTTAATTTAACCCAGTCCATCTTTTAAACTGTTAAAATAAGGTTACAGGAACTTGAGAAATAATGAAATTTATATCGTGTTAGATTTTTAGATTTTAATCTTTTAAAACCGGCATCTTGACTACCTTACAATATCTTGACAGAAAGTTTACCATCTTACATTTAATTTCGAAAATAATGAAGGGAAAACTTTTTATAGTAAAATTATTAACTGTTAAGTCAGAGGTAAGACGGCAAATGGCTATTCCGTAAGGTATTTTAATATTTAGGAATTAATATCGATACAGAAATTTGAATTAGTTGACAAAAGCCATGGACGCATATTTTAATTTTTCCATATGTTTTGTTGATAATAAATATAGTAACTGAGGAAAATTTTTATTATGCTTCTTCATATATTTTTCTATAAAAGTCTGACTATTAGATATATATATATATATATATATCAGTATGTAATATATTAGATATCAATATGAAGTAGAAAAATTATTTTCTACCTTGTTCACGAAAAATTATATAACTTCTTTAGATCGACTCTATACGCTTGTGATCTATATGTTTGTTAAAAATCCACTTCAACGTCTTTAAGTTTATTTTCATACATTAATTCCCTCCTTTAATGGGGATAAAAAAATTTTCTTTTAATCATGTCAGCTCTTTAAAAAAAAAATAATTATAAGTATGATATCAAGAAGCATATTTTTTTATATTCGTACAAACTTGAATAGTTGCATTTTGCAGTATTTAACAATAGACTTTTGAAAATTATATGAGGTATTGATCTGAGTCTCTCGACAGACAAACGACGCTCATAATTGTGTTACTATATGAGAAATATGACTTTGAAAGAATTCTATTAAACCATAGTTTTTAACACTAAATTAGTTGGCGTAATTTCGGTCAAAGTGTTCAATTTCAATTAACTTGCTGCAACAGCTTTCTCCTGTTTGTCCGCATTTATCGTCATTCCCATCATTTCTGCTCTTCCAAATCGATCTGCAAACGTATAGATGAACATAAACCTGAAGATATTAAAAAATCCTTATCTCATTAATTTGATTGATTCATTTTGATTGTTTTTTTTTTCTATTTTTTGAACGAATTTTTCCATTCACCTCACATTAGTGTGATTGAAGATTGATTAATGATTCTATTAGAAAAAACAATAAAAAAAAAAAAATTATATTCGAATATTATTTACGCATTGTACAATGTTATGAGGTTATTTTTCTTCGTATAATCGAGCGACCACAAGATCGTTATTAACTTCGATTGGATAAAAAGTAATCAGTTCTTACATTTATGCCTCTATAATATTGTAAAATTATAAATAATGAAAAAATCGTTTGATCTGTTAGCGTTTGTAATGTAACGTGTGATGGTAATTAAAAAGGTCGTATATTTCGGGTTAAAAGAATTTACATAAAAATATAAAGTCACTTCATTAGATTAAATTTGCATACGTATTGTTCCTCTTCAACCGAGTAAATATAAAATTGAATTAACAAAATAATACATAGCAACATCTTCTTTAAGACCTATAACCTTAATGTTTAATTCGTGATTTCGTCAGCTATGAACGAAAAATGCTTTAGAATATATTATCATTTTTTAAGTTTGTCCCATTTTTATTAAATAACTCGGTATATATATGTATGTATGGTCGTTATATATATATGAATGTTTTAAAAGTAATAGGTGATGGAATACACATTATGTTAAATACGACTCGTAAAATGACATCTAAGTGTCTTCCGTTGCTCTGACCCCTATTTTAAAAAGAGTTATGACTTTCAAAACTACCTTTATTAAAGTTAAAATTATTCGTAAAATCAATTGGACATAAAAGAATAGGTATTAAAAGACAGATCAAAGTACTTTTAAAATATTTATCAATTTAATCGTTTAATCTTTGCACTTTTTAAGATGTACTGCAAGCATAATTGTTGAAATCTTATGAACATAGCTTAATCCATTGAAATAAAATTATAAATATAAATCTGTACGTTATTGTGTCAAGTTTAGATAGGTTAAACGGTGGATATAAAAGGTATCTATTTTCTGCAATAAAATTCAGTGAAACGGTAAGCTTCATTCGAGTAATGTTGATAGATGACTGATTTTGATAACTTCGTAGATAACATAATCAATTCTTGTTCTGCGTAATGGAAAATACTTCTGAAAGTAAGTAAAATTCATATGTTCATTAAAAATATCATAATTTTTATTTTCCATCGATAGAAAATTTAACAATGTAGAAGTCAAAAAATACGATTGTCACATGAAAATCAAATTGTTTCTGATCAAACAATTTTTACTATAATTATAAGCCTTCTTTTTAATAATAAATATAATAAATATGAAATCTTACTATATAATATTAAGGCTTCCAAAAATTATAAATTAAATGGTACTTGTACCATTAGATACAATATAAATCCCAATTATGGAATAGAATTTGAAATAGCATCAATAATAAATAAAATGAAATATAAATGATAAATAAATCACTTTTCCATTATTTCTACATTGCACGAAATTAGTAAGTCTGCACTTGGGACGAATATCCAAGATTGAAAATTATTAAAATATTCGCTAACAAGTATATTGTCAGTGGCTGTGTACATAGATATAATCCCCATTAGTATGTGTAATTAACATAAAATGACTAAGCGATCTTCTTAGACCACATTGAGTGTTAACTGTATTCCTGCTTTAATCTTCTTATGTATAAATGTATTTAAATATATAATTCTTGCATATTCGTTTTGTTGTTATACGTAAATCCAAAATAAAATATGTATTAATTATGAATGAATTTCTAGTAGCGATACAAATCAAATTTCCCATCTATTTTTTGCTTGACCTGGTGAAACCATACGTGTCGATTTATCTATGGAATAAATTCAAGGTGAATTCTGACCACAGAAAATCATATCTTTTATTTATTCATTGTTAGAAAAGAAAACATATTAAGACAAACGATTAAGGTGAACACCTCAAAGATATATTGCGAGATTTTATTTAATACTTTCTAGTTTGCTAATTATTTTACATTCTGGCTCACTTGAATAACGGGACGATCATATAAAAATATGTATGTATATAAGTAGACACACATATGGAGACACTGATTATTTTCAACTCATTACAGATCAAACGATTTTCTAATTACACCTTTATCAGTTTAAAATATTATAAATGAATTAGTGGCCTAGAATATTATAGAAGCATACATGTAAGAACAGCCATGATCTCTTTTCATTCAATCGGTATTAATTAAGATAGTGTGATAGCTTGATTATATGAACAAAAATCAGTTAATCATGTGGGACTGGAGAATGCTTGAATATTATTCGAAGGTTCGATTATAATATTTTTTTTTAATAGAATTATCGGCTTACTAATAAGAGAAATGTGGAAGAACTCGTGCTAAAAATTAGAAAAAGAACGATCGAAAAATGTATGTTAATATTTTTGTTTACAGAGCAATTTGAAGGAACAGAAATGATGGATGTGCAAATAAAAGAGAATGACCAAGAAACAGCCGTAGCGAAAAAGAATTTGAAGCTTGGAACATCGAACAAATATTCGCCAAATGAAAGGCTATCTTCAGTTGAAAACATCCACAAATTAACGACGATACAAACTTTTTACGTAAATTAATGTTTTTTTATAACCGGTGGTACAGGTTTTATGGGAAAAATGTTGATTGAAAAATTATTACGAGGATGTCCTGGCATAAACTGCATTTACGTTTTGATTCGTAGGAAAAAGTCAAAAGTGTCTCTAAACGAATGGAAGAAATTCTCGAAAATTCGGTGAGTCCTTCATTTACAATCAATTATTATTTTTATCTTGTGATTAGATTTTCATTCAACTCTACGATTCTATGTCTTCACTGAATAGTATTTATATTTAATACATTTAATAGATACATTTAAGAAGACAAAAATTGATAAAGAATTTTCAAAAGTCTCCTTCCTTCTAATAAACCGCATTAGAAAGTGGTAGCAGTAAAGCATAATAGAAAGTACGATCCTCAATTGTTTGTTTTCTGTGTCTTTTCTAAAGTTAACGTTAAAATTAATATTTAAACGGAAAATATTCTCTACTTCTCTTATATAATGACTTTGATAGAAGTCTTGTAAAAAATTGCAATAATATACATTTCCAAATTTATAAAAAACAATCAAAAAGAATGGTTTAGTAAAAGGTTTCCAAAGTCAAATTAGACGAAATTGAACAAAAAATTTACCAATAAAAATTTAATATTTTAATAATGATGTTCTTTCGATATAATGCAATTCGATAAAATATTGAACTTTACATCTATGATTTTTTTTTCAAAATCTGAAAATAAATGTTGTAACACTGCGTTTTCACTTTTTGCTGATAATCAAGACATAAGACTACGTTAGCGGACTCGAAGCGTTAAAACTGTCTAATAAAAAGATTGATCTAGGGAAAGATCAGTTTTGTTTTCGATGAAATGTCGAAAAACGTGAAGCAATGCTAATCCCATGTTCGAACTTAGAAAGTCGAATAAGAAAGAATCAACACTGGTTTGTGTTATTTTTAGATCTGTAAAAGCATTTTTGTAAAAATTGCCTCTATTAAACTTTCTGGTAATCTGAGCATTACTAAAATCATATTCAGAGAGAGAATATTTATCTATTATTTGTCTATATTTATGTATATATGTCCATATATATTTAGAATATTTATGTATATTTGTCTATAATTTGTAATTATGTTATCTATAATTTTGTAGAATCAAACTGCAATGATAAGAACTATTAGAAACTATTAGCCTAATTAATCAGCCTTGAACAAGAAAGTATACGGCATGCCATTTTTTTTATTTTAGTCTAATAATACATTTTTTCT